AATGTACCTTCTATTGCCACAAATGAATCTTCTGTTTCTACATATGACCATTTTGTTGCCCTAACACATAGGTGATATGTTCCAACATATGACAACTCTATTGGAATATATACCAACATATCACTAAAATGTAGCAACATACGACACATCTTTCAACAAATGAAATATATGTTGGATAACTGAACAAGACTATGTTTTTAAAAATCATATGAACAAAATGGTCACAAAAAAAACAACAAAAGCAACAAAAAACGATTTTTCATTGAATGTTAACAATACATATGCATTTCCTCAAAATTAGGGCTTTTTTGGGTTTGTTGATTTTCTTTAAAAAATAATAAATAATAGGTACCATTACACTATTATTCAATTTTCACATCTATAGAACGATTTATTGTTCATTAACCCAAGAAAAAAACTTAGTATTGTTCAAAAATTGTAAAATCTTTCAAAAAACTGACTTACCCATTTTAAGTCGAACACAATCTTCAGTTCAAAAAGAAGAGAGAGTCACAGCCGGAGATAAGGAGGAAGATAAGATAATGGGGGAGAATATTTGTTTTGATAGTTGGATTTTTTGGATTTTTCTAAGGAAGAAGAAGAAGAGAAGAGAGAACGTTGGGAGAAGAAGAAAGAAAATTCTATTTTCTTTTACTTTTTTTAAAAATGGTTTGGATAGAATTATAAAAGTTGAAAAATTAAGTGTTTTTTTGTATTTTATGAAAGATTAGAAAGTTTTGAAAATGTTAATTTGGTCCCAGATTTACTTAATTACATTTTAAAGTGAATTTGACCATTTCTTGGTCAAAGAGTCACCAAAAATAAAAGGCGAACTGGTCTGCTGAACCCTTGTACTTGTATCAGTTTGTATTCTGGACCCTTTTACTTAACCATTTGTCAACTAAACCTTTAAACTCAATGAAACACAATTTAACAAATCCCTCTGACCATTGACCAGGCTTATGTGGCATTAGAATGTCTAAGTTGGCAAAAGTGTGTAACTACACGCTTCTTTAGGTGAGTGAATAACATTTTTGAGTTTAAAAATATTAAAATTATAAAAGAAATAATTTTTTTAAAAACAATTAATTAAAACATTCCTTCTTCTTCACCCACCCGTCCTTTTCAACCATTTTCATCCCATACCCAACCATTTTTTCTTCTTCTCCACAATCTATTAACATCAT